GTTCCAGAAATGGGGGTTAAGAGACATACCTGGCCTGGGCCTCTTGACCTCTCCCCACCTCCTAGGCTCTGCTGCCCCTCGAGAGAGCCAGCCTTGGTGCCAGTCGAGGGGCAGGGGCTGCACTGTGGGGTGCGAAGCACTTGCTCTTGTAGCAGGAAAAGTACTAGGATGGGACCTTGAGGGGGTCTTCATTACAGGGGCAGCCCTGAGCTGACTGTGCCTGGGCTCAAAAAGGTAAGCGGGGTCAGGCCTCCTGGTTAGTGGCTGGATGGGAGACCACCCAGAGATCTCAGACCAGACTGGAGAGTTGAAGAAACATCCCTGAGTGCCAAGCCCTGCTGCGTTATTGCCGAGCAAACTGCGTGGAGGTGTGGAGTTGCCAGGAATAAAGGTTTGACTTGAGACTTTGCCTTACTTGGGAAGTGCAGAATTGGCCCCCCTGCCTCTCCCCTTCTGTCCCACCCAGGGGGTTACTGCTGTTTCTAAGCCGCTGCGAGCCGTTTTGCAAAAAAGAAATAACAGTAAAAAAAAATACGTAAATCTCCAGCTCGCCATTCTTCCAGCCCTTGAAGGGCGTCCCAGGGAAAGCGCGTGGATTTATTTTTTGAAGTGCCCGAGGGTAGGACAAGAACCAGCGGGTGGAAGCTGTGTGTGTGGGGGGGTCCAAACTCAGACAGGGAGGGATTTCCTGCCCCCTCGGCCAGTGGACCAGCCTGCCCCACAGAGCTGAGGGGGCTCCATCCCTGGGGGGTTTCAAGCCAAGGTGGGAGAGCCCTTTGTCTTTTCAAAGCCCCCTTCAACCCTAGGCTTCTGCGGCTCCACGGTTTGTGAGGCTCCCCAGAAACAAACCTTGGTCTGAGGATGTGTCGTCTGACGCGTTGAATCCCAGCACCGAATTTTCCTGCCTCCGTGCCTGTTCCCTTGGGCGAAGTGAGTTTCAGTGAGGAGAGGCAGGTCGCTTTGCAAAGAAAAGCCACAGCAGTGGAAGCCCGTTGGTGCTTGACAGATGGCCCCTAAAAACGGTGCTAAAAGGAAGAGGGAAAGGCCAGGTTGTTGCCCCACGAGCAGAGCCAAGGGGTGCCACGCAGAAGGGGCCGGACTAGGGCCGGGGAGGTTCGGGTTCAAGTCCCCCCTTGGCCACAGAAGCTCACAGGGTGATTGAGGGCTCAGCCCTGCCTACCCGCTGGATTGTAGTTGGGATAAAACAGGAGATCCTCGTGGAAGCCCTGTTGAACTCTGGCAGCAAAGGTGGGAGATAAAATTAGCAAGTGCATTAGGTGAATGAATGTGAAGGAGCTTCTGGGCTGTCGGACCCGGGCAGTTGGCCCCGGGATCCAAGCTGGGCTGCCCCGGCACGGTGGTGTCATTCGAGCCGCAAGCCAGGAAAAGGCTGGACTGGAGGACGGGGGCTTCTGTGGACAGAAAACCTCTTTTCCCCCACATCTCGTTAGGCCTGGCCTAATCTCTCAAACCTTGAGGACTAGCAGCTGAACAACTCAGTGAGAGTAATGCTCCATCCCTCGCTGGCTTGGCATCTTGCAGGAAACCAGCTGTTGTCTTGGCACGCTGGGTGAACCGTGTCTCCTCTTAACCACACGCCCCACAGCAGTCAGTTTGGGCCCTGCAGGAGCAGAGCCGTGTTTGATCCCTTTGGTGGCAAAAAAGTCAGGAGGCTGGTAGTGCCTTTTCCGACTCACAAATTCTATCCAAAGGCAGAAGCTTTGGTGAGCTGCGGCTCCCTTCATCAGATGCACTGGAGTGCCTAGAGTCGTGTTTCTCAACCTTGACCACTTTAAGATGTGTGGACTTCAACTCCCAGAATTCCCCAGCCAGCCATGGCTGGCTGGGGAATTCTGGGAGTTG